TGCTTGAAATAATAAATATCACGAAGTTACAAATGAAATTTGACGTCAATAAGAACTAGTTGATGGAGAAAATGTCCGGTTCCAGTTGCGATATATGTTGCGATGCATTCTGAAGGCAGTGTAGGATATAAGAGGAAAAAGAGATGGATATGATGAAAAAAGCTGGATATGCTGAAAAGGAGCTTTCTATTTCCCAAATCAGGAGCAGTTTACTGAACATTATCGTCGGATGCAAGGTGAAGCTGTCGTAAACTCGGAATTTAGGTGAAGTAAATTTCCAAAAATTAAAATACAGAAAATGAGAAGAGCAGACAGTCTTCCCACTTTATTTGATACCTAAATTTATGTGATTCAGTTTCGATAGGCGATCTTCAGTGCTGGAAGTTGACCCGAAATTCTCACCTCCTTCGGCGTCGGAAATTGGATCACGTCCGGTGGCTCTCAGGGTCGGGTCTGACAGTCGACGACCTGCAAGACACTTCTATGCTGTGCAGTCGCAGAGGAATGGACTGAAAGGAATCTTTCTGTCAGATCATTGGCTCGAAGTGTCCTCGCTACTTACTAACCTGGGTCATGCACATGTTTCTATAGACAGCCTCAATTTAACTTAGGTTCCATTTCAATCTAGTGTTTGTGCTTCGAATGTATATAGATTACCCAGCTTGAAATTTCGGAGAGATAGCTTTCAATTTTGAGGGAATTTTTTTGAAAGAAAACGGGATTAATTTTCTCGTTCCCTGTTTTTTCTAATATAAAATAGTCAAAACGCATAGTTTTACCAGATGCTCTATATTTACCTGTTCAAAATGATTATAATTTTACTAATTACTGGAATTACTGTACACCAAATTTTAGATCGCGCAGCATGAAGCGCAACATGCACAGTTTAACTCCTTCCAAATCAACCATGTGGTTGAGAAATTTCACCGACAGGTATGCGATAACACGCAACCAAGGAATGTAGATAAATACTTCTTTTATTTGAAATTGTCAAGAACAACCCGAATACGAGAATCTACTATACTTTGGTCTTGTGGCGTTTTTAAATTTTTTTACTAAGCACATTCACGGAATTCGCCGGGAGAGAACCAACCATTTGTTCAAATTTGGGGAGACCCAACGAGCGACAAATTTTTTTATTGCGATGCGATGTCTGCGCAAGTTCTAACACTAAAATTCTGACTCGGAAATTACCTGAGATATAACAAAAACACATTCCACTATTTAAATTTTGAGCATCCTCCAGGGAGCGCAATTTATTTATATTAAGCATTCGCTGGCTCGTGGAGTATCGTCCAGGGTCACAGCAATGCTCGAATATACAGCATCATTTCTCTTAATTTCCTTGCTCGAGCCAACTCGGCAGCCCTCAATTTCCCTCTGCCATTTCCGGAGGACGGTTTGGAGCCTCAATTATTATGAGCAGTTATGATGTGAAGATTTCAGCTCAAATATCGTCATGCCGCTGCCGCCATTTCGGTCGCAAACAGTCCGTACGCAAATGCCTGCACGAATCCTGAACCTGAGGCCGTGATGCGTAGCAAGTCGTGCATGAGACGAGTCTCAACATCGGGCTTGAGACGCGCGATATTCCCGTAATGGGTAGTTGAGTGCATCGTCAGCGTTTGGAATGGTGGTGAGACGATATATATATATATATATATTAACTCCAAATTCTGGCATGGTTAAAGACAAAACTATTCTTATATTGTCTAGATCATAGAATCGAACTTGATCGTTCAATTACTAATCACTCGAATTTCGCAATGACACAACATTATGAACACTTTCTGAGCTGCAGGTCAATGTACTTGTCTTGCAGGTCATTTTGTACTCGTCTTGTTTCCCTCGAAGAAATAAAAACTGTTCATTGGCATATTAAACCATAAGGAAAATTAGAATGACCAAATTTCCAAAGCAAGAGGCTACAGCTGCAAGCATCAAGCTAAGTAGCAATATATTCCACATTACTGAGAGAAATAGGGACCAGCTAGCTTAGGACTGCGTCGCAAATGACGTGCCGAAGAAATTGTGCACTATTTGATGTGCATTAGGAAATGTGAAATTAATAAATAATTAACCGGTCACAAAAATATATCCTTACAATGCTAATCGCCAAACAAAGCAATTGAATTTATAAACTTCACCAACCGCGAATTCGGAACACCGCGGCCTTGGCTTTAAATGAACAAAATAACAAATCGGTTCCACTGCGTGATTCAACGCTACAATTCGCGCCAATCAAACAAAGAAAGAGCGTTTTTTATTGCACGCCGTAAAGATCTTTTCACAATACCGTAAGACAGGAGAAACGAAGTCCAGCATTGAAGCGACCACAAAACCCAATGAAGGTTTTTCTTGAGATCAGTAAGAAATCTCTGGCTTGTGAACCTGTTAAAATCTCACTTGTATCTACATTCAGGTTACTAATTAAAAAAAATCTTGCACCATAAAAACAGTTCAAGAGTCATTATGTTGTGGACCACCAGGTTCGCATGAACTGTTATGAATAAAAGTCTTTTCTCGTCGAGATATACTTAAAATCCAACACCACAACACAGATATAAAATTGTGCAAGGTTACAAAGTACACGGAGACAATCTGGAACAAGACATATACAGGCCGAATAGAGGGATCCTTACTGTCCGCTCTCTAAAATCTGAATGAATCCGTCGGCCTGACACCAATCAGTAAAGCTACGATTCTCTCTAAAATAATCTTACAACTTTTACATCCTAATTAAAATACATCCTTTTCCTATACACTATGCATCAAGATATTACACATTAATGATCCTTAGTAATTAACCTAGCCCTCTACAATGTATTTATGTGTTTAGTAGGTCATTTCACATTTTGCCATCAACCCAATTCTGAGAAGATGAATGAAATCGATTTTAGGTTTTTGTAATGCAAAAATATTTTTTTCCTTGGATGAAAGAATTCTCAGTTGAAGTACAAAAGAATAGTATGGTTGCACATACTGTAGAGAAGACAGCCGTATGCAGCAAGTTCGAAGAGTTGACAGTAATAGGTTGTCTTACTGCAAGCAATTCCTAAACCTGAGGGAGAAGTTGCTACTAGAAAATTCGCGTAAAATAATGGTTTTCGCGGCGGGAAGCTGCCATAATTGTAAATTTTTGAAATTTCGGTTGGAGTTCTAAAACAATGAACAATTGCTCAAATTATGTTCCAGGAAACCACTAAATCTATTAAACATACGGCAGAGTTACGACTTCCTTTGGGAGTGTGATGGATCATTTGGAGATGTGCTAACGACAGCGATAACTTTGAGTACATTGCAATCGGGCACCTAACTGCAGCAGCTCTGTTGAAAGACTCTCCCTAAGTTCATAAAAGTTCGGGAAGGGTTTGTGATTGCGCAACGTACAGTTCGCTTCGTTTTCAGGTACAACTTGGAATAGGGACGTTTTATAAGCGACTGAAATTAAAACTTTACTAGTCCGAAAAGACCCATGAAATGATAATGTATCGATCAAACCCCAAATATTGCTTTGGCCAATTTCGTCATATCAATTAGTAATATTACTATAGAGTTTGGCTTTACTTGAGTTTTCATTTGCACCAGCAGGTAATAAAAGTCGCTTACTCAAATGTAGTACTTTATTCCCGTATTATTCAGCTATTTCGTGGAATAGAAAATATTTAAAGGGAGCCAAAAAATGTTTCACATCAAAGTTATGGAACCGAAATTCATTCATTTGATAATTTGCAATATCACAAAATAATAATGTACTGAAAATTATGCATGGGAAGTGAGGAACGAAGACGGCAATACCTACGAAACTACGGGAGATTTCTCCTTTGTAATCCCAGAAGGTTGCTCTCACCTTTTCCATTGATGGTAAAAGGAAACGAGTCACTGTAATAAAAAAATTGTCGCCTTTTACTCCAGAAAATTGCCTTTTTAACGCACTTCAGAACGCGGCTCATTTCCAAGTCCGGTCCTGTATGCCGGCCCGACCCTCACTGGCGTCCGCAAAAACTCCAGTTAGCCGAATTGCGAAGTGTGTGAGGCAAGTTCTGGTTACAATCGCTCTTAGCAACCAAAAGCGGGTCAACGAGAATAAAATTCATCGGCAGGGCAACACAGAGAAATATTTTTCCATAGCGTCAGCGCCGAAGTTCCAGGAATATTTTTGGTCCAGAAACTAATGCCGTCAATGTTCGGTTAAAACAAACCGATGCCTTTACTTTTTAGGGGTTGAATCAACCTCAGCTCACTGCCTAGACTGATGCAGAACGTAAAAGGAGAAAAGTTTTTTAAAGCTACGTAATTAGTATTCATAGGAAACGGACTCCTCATAAATCATCAAGTCCTTCCCTTGTCGCAATTACGATCGCCCCTGGAAAATTCAGGTAATGGAGTGCTTCTGAACACCGGCGCATGAAATCGCTTCGTGAAATTTATCGACTCCTCAGCAACGTTAAAACTAAGGCTCATAGATTTTGCAGACAGAATTTGAAAAGGAATTTAATTAAAAGTTTTCCAGTTTGTCGTAAAAATTTAAAGAATGGCCATCTCTTTTTGACGCCTCAGAAAATAGGTTTAGGGCTGCTTGCACAACATAAAAATTATTTTCAACTATAAATTCAGTTGAGCACATGCTTTAGAGATGCAACTTGTTCCACGCGTCCTGTTCGTCAGTATATCGCCAACCCATCGTGATAACTAATACAGAGTATTGTCACCGACATACGTATCGCACCACGCATGATAAATGGCCATGGACGTTACTCAAGGTTCACGAGGCATTGTCACTGATGAAGAATGTGGTAGTGTTGAATTCGTGTTCCCGTATATTCGTTAATAAATTAGTTGAAAATATACCTAAAAATCCTAGCGCAATAGATAAACCACTACCAGGCGATATTTTCCTAAACCACTAACTAAAAGACCCGAGCTCAAAATTGAATATCTCAGACAGTCCGACAGCGGCAATAATACTGATCGATGGGGATAGAAATGAGTAAAAGAACGAAGTTTTGATCTGTTTTGTAATTAAATAAGGTTTACTCGTACACGCTTGAAAGGCAGCAGTCATACAGTGAATTAAACGATAGTCTAACACGTGTAGTAGAAACGAAGAATCAGCACAGCAAATCTCAAGTTATTTTAGTCGCGTTTATTCATTCAAGGAGAAATGGATAAACTTCTAACACTCAGACAAGACCTTAACATGAATAACCCAAACAGATAAACAACTCACTTTCGATGACATAATTTCTTACACACTCCATCATTAGATGAAACAATGAGCGAATAAATAGTAATAATTAATAAATTTTTGATTGCACCTCTTTAAATAGCATGTTGAGGATGTGAGCACCACGCAAGAAATGTTACTACTCCAAGAACGAAATATACGTAATGAAATCAACATCCAGTGAAGTCAAGTTTCAACATGACATTTACGCTCGCAAGTTCCGAAATATGTAACACAGCTGCATTCAACGTCTCTCACAACACTCGCGCCTTAAAGGCAAGGAAATGGAATGAGATGCAACGATTTGATCTAGAGCATCACTAACGCTAAATGATTCATAATGAACGAATACATATACACTACCGATGACGCTACTGATGGTCACGTGGAGATGTCAGAATATTTCTTCCGCTCCTAACGCAAAGCACATAAACTTTAATTCATCAGAACTAACTTGGGCAGTAAGTACCTAAAATTATCCTCAAGCTTGGGTCGGTGCGATGTCACCTTACGAATATTCACAATATCAGTTAGCTTGACGACAGAACGCCCTCAAAAAAGGGCAAATAGTGTACACATTCTCAACCGAATTCTTCGCTGTAAAACATTTCGTTTACATGAGATTTAATGCCGTATGAAAATCTATTATCTACACGAGGCAGCCAGCTCCAGCGTATAGTCAATGTCACGGACTAGAGATGCCACCCTGACGGTCGCGGCGCCTACAACTCATCGTGCATTTCCTCGGTCTCTTCAGCGTCGTCGGTGCTAGGCTCCTCGTCGGCATCAAGCGCTTCTTCCTGCCCCTCATCCTCAGGCAACTCAGGTTCCTCCTCTATGGGCTCATCAGCAGCAATGCCGAGGGTTGTGCGGAGCATTTCTTCTACGGATGCAGCGAATTCAACTGTGTCTTTCAGCATGAAGCCAGACCGAAGAGTTGCTGCAAACAAAAAATCCTTCCGTCAGAGTGCATAAATGGAAATTTATTACCAGGGAACACTTAAATGAGCAGACGAATATTTTATTGTTTTGTCCAAAATTTAAAATTCTAAAATTGCGTACAGTAGAAATTTCTAAGCTCGCTCAACAAGATCGAATTGCATATTACATCATACCCCAAATAATTTACACCATGGAAATAAAGTTAAAACTTCAGAAACTGAGCGTTACCGACCTGTTCTGAACATCATCTTGGCGATGTCGACTGTAGACTCGTCAGTGGCGCCATCATGAACACGTTTTAAGAGCTCCTTCATGATAGGATGACGAGGGTTGATTTCTAGAGTTTTCTTCTGGTTCAGGTAATACCTATAACAGAATTCATGTCAATATTAGTTATAATTAGCCAAAATACAAGAATAGTCCTTTACAAATCAACATTTGCTACAACAGAAAAAACATTTCAGTTGTGGAATCCACAAAATTACATGTTAATATTGAAAACTGAATTCAATGGCAATTTAGGAACTATTGCACGGCGACCGAATAAATATACATCTCTTGCTGATGGCCGGCAGGATATTAATAAGCTACTAAAAATTCAAATCAACCGTCAACAACAATTACACCACACGCATTCGCAACTATTGTGCTAAAAAAATTCTGTTATTTAGTATTAGAAAATATTTGCAGAAGCACAATGAAACATTCAGTCCGTAGGATATTTTGGAACTAAGTCAGTAGATAATACCAGGTCCAATAATTAAGGAACAACGTGAAGCAAGCAAGCTAAAAAACTGTGCAACTCCAACATCAAATCATTGTGCGGTAAACAAATGAAGCCCCGAGTGAGAGCTGCAAGCGCCTGGTTTCAAAACTCTTCAAATGAAAACTCCGAAATTATATGTAAAGATGTAAACAACAGCAAATTTATAAAGGATTGCTACAACGAGACTATGAGAATCCACCCGTGCATGAAAATATTACCTTCCGATGAGATTGCGTGAGATTTTTCGTCATCGCGAGACAAAGCCCAATGCTTTAAAGGCACCGCAGCTCAGATAAACGAATATACTCTCGAAGGAATTTATTAGAAAAAATGTTACCGAAATCGAGGGTAAGCATTGCTCGAGTTTCAAAACGAGATTCATCAGGCTATGACTGAATTTAAGCTGATAAATACTGTTCTAACTAGGTGCGTCGAAACAAAATTCTCATAAGTAGAATTGAAAAAAATGGGGAGATCTCCAACACGATAATTATGTTACAGTAAATGGTTCAACCATTCTAAATTTGAATTACTAAGTATAAATCGAACGGATATTCAGATGATGAAAATGTTTCACATTGAGTGATCAATATAAAGCGGTGGCATTAATAGATAACCGCGACATTTACAAAACTTTACAAAAATCGAATCGAGTAGGTATTTATCTACTCAGAATTCAGTCTATTGTGGTTAAAGTGTCAATTCAAAATATTTATATAGATAGACTGACAGTAAGTAAATGTTCATAAAAAAAAAGAAAGTTGGTTGTTATGAATTATGGGTTATTAGAATAGTCTGAAAGCAGACTGGATAAGACGGATTCCCAACTGAGGCTGAGAAAACCAGGAGCTAATGATAAAGAGGTCTAGAATAATGTTGGGGAAAACGCTACCACATGAAATCCGAATCAACAGATAACGTTTCTGACACAAAACCCAGGTAATAGTTGTAGCAATTAATGCCATTTCACAGGTTACTGTCCATAAAGCTGTACTTTATTTAGCCAGTAGATGGCACCCACTGTCTTTGAACATCGTCGGTCTTGCTGTGAGTTTGTGCCGACACGATGCGTTCCATGTTAGCGGTCCAGCCAAAGCGCGACGAGACGAGTGCGCAGGGCGAAGATTCCAACCGCTCACTCACCTCTGCTTTGGATATCTGCACTCACGACACCAGCAATGTGAGTATCAGGGATACCATCAACCAAGGATGACCAGGAATGGTACGGTAGTGAAAAATAAAAACTAAATTTCGGGACGACAAAGAAAATGGGGATTTAAAAATTTCTAGGTTATCGGGCAAGACGACAATGAGACAATAATTTTTAACCAAGTAACAAAACTGGTGGAATTCATCGTGAAGAAACGTTACCGCGCGTTTCAAAAGAAACAATGCGGGAATAAATCGGAGTGTGCCGAGCAATGAATATGTTCACACCGTGGTAATGAGAAAAAAATACACGAGTGATGTGCAAATCAAAATCAACAGGATTGACTACTTAATTGGGAACACAGATGTGCATAAGATGAGTAAAAACTTATATATAGATAGCATAAATAAAACTTACATAACTTGTCACAGCCAAACGTGCATTCACATCTAGTGAAGTGGATGCATAACAAAATGAAAGCTACTTGAAATAAAATTTCCAATAAAATAGTAATTCTCAGTTCAATGTACTGACGGAAATGAACAGAATAAAACAATAATTAGAAAAAAAAACACTGCAGCACAATTTCACCGGCATTCCCTGCAAACAAAGCAAGAATTACAACAGCGTGCAATCAGCGCGACCAAGTCGCCTGAACATGAAAAAGTTTTCGACGCTCACTGCCTGGTGACATCTTCTGATTTTTGATGAGCATTTGAGATGTGGAGGCGTTCCATGTTGCCAGTCCAACCGAACGATGAAGCAACCAAAGCGCACGGTGATGTCGTCAAGCGTTCGCTCACTTCGCATTTGCTAACCTGATTTTCATTGCGTTAAGTAAGTGGGCAAATAGCCGTCTTCGGGCACTACGTATATGTCATTAACACCGTCAGTGTGATATTGATGAGAAGTATTTCAATAAATCGTGATGATCAGAAGTATTTTTGCTGCGCTCAAGGCACAAGGATATTATTTCCCATTCTTCAGAGGCAAAAAGTTCAATGAGCCTCGAGCCTTGCTAATCTTATTCTACTCATTTAGTTCGATTCAAATGCAGCAGGGACGAATCTGCATCAGAGTTTCTTCAGAATGATTGAATTTTCGTTACACAAGTAATGGATGCTAGACAGTTCTGCTCCGAACAAGTGAACATTAAAATGGCCTGGAAACGGAGATGTCTAGTTTAAGAAGACGATCTAAAATAACAGTGGAAATCGAAGTCGAGAACATAAAATTTAGCTTACCTGATCTTTAAGAGCTTCTTCAGCAAGCCATGTGGTGAGAGGCTCGAACTGCTTCTTGAGCTCTTCAGTTCTCTCCTTGGCAGCCTCGCTGCTGGAGAGTGTGAGGCCTTCTTTGGCCACATTCTGGAACTTCTTGCCTTCAAACTCGGGCAGGGCGTTGATGGCGTACTCGTCAATGGCTTCGACCAGATAGAGAACTTCAAGACCTTTCTTCAGGAGGCGTTCAACAAATGGAGAAGTGGCCACCTGCAAAAATTATTCAATAGTTGCCGGGTGGATGTAGCTACTTTGAACTGTTACGATTTATAATGTAATTCTTTGGAAAATATGCTTATTTGTTAACGTACCGGTATACAATTACCGTAAGAGTAAATTTTTTGAAACTAAGGATTGAAATAATTGACTAAGATTGAGCTCTTCCTCAAATAACATAATAAAAAACGCAGGGATTGAAAAATAAATGCTACATTTTAACACATTTGATTGAGGACAACCAGAAACAGAAACCGATGTAACAAAAGGAAACGCACGGATTTTCCTCTCGTACTGACCTCCTCCTTGGAAGCACCAGCCATGTAGTAAATACTTTCTTGATTCTCCTTCATTCTGGCCACATAGTCAGCAAGACTGGTCTTCTTGTCACCTTTCGTGGATGAACTGCCGAATCGCAGCAACTTAGCAAGACGGTTTCGGTTGCTTGTATCTTCAAGAATACCGAGTTTCAGGTTGGTAGAGTATTCCTTGTAGAACTTTTCGAAGTCGTCTTCATCTAGTTTCTTGAACATGTCGAGAGCCTTGCGGACGAGCTTCTTCTTGATAACCTTGAGGAGCTTGTGCTGCTGCAGGGTCTCGCGTGAGACGTTCAGAGGCAGGTCGTCTGAGTCTACGACGCCGCGAATGAAGGACAGGTAGTTGGGCATCATGTCCTGAGTATGAATATTGTTGATTCGTGTTATCGATTGTCACTAAAACCATCAATATGAATCGTGCGTGCACTACTATCAAAGGGATGAGCAAAGAGGCTATAGATGCTAACAGCAAATCAAAAAATTATACTAGATTGCGTATCTAAAAGTGTAAATGATGGCGTATCTAAAAGCCAGTTCAGTCAAAGATGACAGAAATGGAAAACCAATATTATTAGCAATCTGTATTTTATTCCCAGTATTTATTCTTCAAATCGACTATAATCAACTGATTAAACTGCTAGGTTACTTTCATGCGATTTTTTTCAGACACTCCAGTGGTGCAACTAAACTTATTGCAAATCGCCAGTACTCTTTAACGCCATCAAGTTTTGTACGGTTTAATTTTTCTAGAACAATTTATAATAGTTCCGAGAAATATTCAGGGTAATGACTTTACATAACATTTGATGTCAACGAAAGATATTATCTAATAGTAATAATTCACCTTAAAGTCGTCAGTAATGAAGACGCGACGGACGTAGAGCTTGATGTTGTCAGTGGCAGTGCCGTATTTGTTGAAGTTCTCAGTCGGTTGCGTGTTCGGCACGAAGAGCAAAGCCTTGAATGTCACTTCACCCTCAGCTACGAAGTGAGTGAATGCCAAGCTATCTTGGCTGTCCTTGCTCATACTCTTGTAGAATTCTTGATATTCTTCAGCTTGGATCTCAGATGGCCTGAGCAAAAAAGTTTATTAATTTAAATATTTCAACATCACATGAAAGCGAGACCATACACCTTTGACAACCCCCCAGGCCAGTCACAGAATATCAAAACCTACCTACTCAAGACATGAACATTTCTTCGATTATGGTTTTCGTAGCTGCCAGTTTAAAACCAACAAGACGAGAGAGAGAATGATGAGCTGTAAAATTATCATCATGTGATCATCATTACGAACATTGGCAAGTGCATTCAAGCCATGTAGGAAACAAAAGATAATTGTCATTTGAAGGACCTACTTCCTCATCCAGATGGGTTTGGCATCGTTGACAAGCACCCAGTCCCAGATGGTCTTGGTGATTTTCCTGGTCTTGGGTTTCTCATCTTCTTCTTCTACTTTGCCTTCTTCATCATCTTCAACCTTGTCTTCTTCAGCTTTGTCCTCATCGGCCTGAACAAATTTTTTCATTGATAGAGATCTTAGAAAACATCTTGAATGTTGATCATTGTAAATGCTCTCTGAACGATCAAGCATTATAACAAGAAATAAGCAGCAGCCAAACTGAGTCATTGCACAGTCACCGTACCTACTGCATAACATGGATTTATCTATAATGAACAAAGTAAATTCATAGAAAAATCAGTTATATTAGCCGTTGTCGTTCTTGTTTCTTATGTTAAGAGTTTTTCTACACACTAAGTCGCGCTTTGAATAAAAATTCAGAAATAGAAGACTTACTTTCTCAGGTTCTTCCTCGTCCTCAATGGGCTCCTCGACCTCCTGGGAGACGCTCTCCCACAAGTAGATGGGAAAGTTGATGAACTGAGAGTATTTCTTGACCAACGTCTTCACTGTGTCGATCTCAACGAAGTCGTAGGCTTCTTCCTTCAGAGTGAGCGAGATGGTCGTGCCTGAATAGTTCAAGATAGTTTTTTATCGTCTGAAGTGACCAGTGACAGCATTAATTCCAATTTAGAAAATGAATTGGAGTTTTTTTTTACATGAAAGACGTCAAATGAAAAAGGAATTTTTTTCAACATAAAAGAATTCCTTTAACATCAAATTTGCTCATGATTACGTTTCTCAACAAATCATACAAAGTCCAATTGAAACTGTAATAATAAGAGAGAACGATTATACTGTATATAAATTCAATTGACGAGATTTAACTTCTAGATTTCTTTATTATTAACTTTACATCAACAAACAAAATAGACAGTACAGTTATCAGTACGTTTACGTACTATGCTTCAAAGAATATTGGTCAGGGTGTTCAAGGTGTACCAAGCTTTTACTTCTTCAAGAGATTAAAGAAGGCTTTAACCTCACCTCGCTTGAGCGTGTCTCCCCGTGGGTCTTCGACGACACTGAACTCGTTCGAGTTGCTCTCCCAGATATGCTGGGTGTCGTCATTGTGCTTAGACGTGACCACGACGCGGTCAGCAACGAGGAAGGCTGAATAGAATCCAACACCAAATTGACCAATGAGGTCGCTGGCCGACTGGCTGTTGTCACTTTCCTGAAGATAGTAAGAAAATCATAGATATTGCAATATACATGAATGAATAACAAAGGGTTTTCTAGTGTCGTCAGTCAGCATTCATCAAGCATAATAACCCTCCTCATTACCCAACTCGCTTCAACCTGAACCCATCACAGTACAAGCTCAAATGGACCGCAGGCATGATATGCAAGATGAACTTCTTATTCCAAATATTTCATGTTGACAAATTCATAAAATAGCTATTAAAATTTAACATGACTGATCGCAAATGCAACATTCACAACAGGAATTTCGAGGTACCTGCAACTTGGTGAAAAACTCCGAGGTTCCCGACTTAGCAATGGTTCCCAAGTTGTTCACAAGATCTTTCTTGGTCATGCCAATACCGGTATCGGTGATGTGCAGGATGTGGTTCTCCTGTCAGAATAATCCAGGAATTATCAAAGGGAAAAAAGAGCAACAAATAATACAAACATCAGGGTAAATTCAACAGACACATGCCAACGCATTACTTTAAAAATATCCTGTTAGAAAAGTGTCCAAGTCATATGATAAATGTTAAAAGCAGTACCTACGGTAAAATCCTGTAGATCAACTAAACATTCATATTTATATGCACTGAAAAACATGCCGAGTAGGTACAACATTCTCGCACAAAGCAGCAATGTACAGAAAAATACTTCAAGTTCAAAAGAAAAAGTAAGAACAACACCTTGATATCACTTACTTTGTCAAGTTTGATTCTAATAGATAGTTCATCAGTGGCAGCAAGCTGTTCCTTGTCAGTTAGCGATAACAAGCGAATCTTGTCCAGAGCATCCGAGGCATTACTGATGAGCTCTCGCAAGAAAATCTGCAACAAACAAGACTCGTGACTCATGAGAAAAACAGCTCCTATCCTACCAGACTGTAGAAGTGTTTAATGATAGCAAAAATTGCATTAATGTTCACAACATACAATAATAGGGTTATTTGAAAATGTAAAAATGGCTACATTATAACATTAAATATTTCAAGTTCTTAGCAAAATATAATAACATAGGTATATGTACCTACCGATCAGCATAAAATACTTCTAGATATAGTAGCATTAGTTCCTAAAACCCTAGTACATCTCATTAGTTCAAAATACAAACCTCCTTGTTTCTGTACAACGAGTTGATGATGAGTTTCATCATGCGGTTAACTTCTGCCTGGAATTCATGCTTCTCTGCTTTGTCTCGCAGCTCTTTGATCTGAAGAAGCAAAGTTCAAAATAAAAATTCCCTTAATGGTGACAAGTTTTTCACATAATACATATTATCCTTTTGCACATGCAATAAGGGTGTGACAAACAAGTGAAATACAATTTTTTTGCAAAAGTTAAACTTTTATGGACAAAGATGAGCTATTAAGCAAATTCAGCATCTGAGACTAGGGAAATCAATTGTTAAAAACATGCTATCACACTTTAAAGACAATTATGATTGTAAAATCATGAAATGCTTTCCAGAGCACTACCTATATACTTCACTAACTCTAGAGTCCAGAGATAATCAGAACTCAGGTTCATAGGACTTGGTATTCAAGATTGCAACAATATAGAAGAAAACACAAAGAATTGAAATATTTAAATGACAACATACATACTCGCCAGATTGCACAATTGAGTAAACTTTAATGGAGTTGTTCATTCAATTCAATGAATCATTTGCATAATAATGGATCTGTAACCAGCAATTCATTCCGTTAATGTCCAAATATGCACAGAAACTGGAGGCCTAGATTTTGCAGATGATACCCTCCTCTCATCAATTCTACTTCATAGATATTATATACCTGGGCAACATTAAGTCCATCCAACTTGATAGCTTCTTCTTCTCTGGCAACCACTTCATCATCAGTCTTACTGCCCTCCTTGCTGCTGCCAATGTTGTTGTCAACAGTTCCTAGGTCTTCCACTTCATCTTCTGCTTTGGTGGAGCCCACACCTGTAATGAAAATGCAAAATTCTCAGTTTTTTTTTGGCAAATTTCAGATAACATTCTTGGCTAGACATTTAAGATACTGGCAAATATTGAGATTATTAGGCAAGTCAATTCAATTCTAAGATACAAGCAGTATTGACACCCTTGAAAAAATTATGATAATGTGGCATCACTCACCACATAAACATGGCTAATTCAATACCCTCTAAATACAATTTTTAACTTGTGCATGAATCTTTCAGGTCAGGAGTTATCTAAGCTCATGGGTACTGATTTGTGAGTGATATCGTACCAGGAATTTAATAATCACTGCAAGTTTACACATCATGATCTGGCACTAACAGGGTGACGTCTAATTTCCAAATGGCAGCAGTTCTAAACTGCAGCCACAAGAGGTTGGAATTTGATGAACACTGGATCATGAATTCAATATCAATCCACTCCAGCTTGTTTGATTAATATATACGAGCTTACTTATAGAATGAACTAATGAAGCCAGATCTATGAAATATCTTATTTTGCAGCTTAGGATTGGAGCTTACCTGCTTTCTTTGGTGCCAAAAATTCCTAATATATGAATTATTTCCTAATTAACTGCCAAAATATTGTAAAATGGGGTAACTTTGACCACTTTTTTTCAAAATGATGTCTTTTTTTACTAGATAAATTAAACTTAAATTGAAGCATGCAAAATACAGGTCTATACTCTAGCTTTACTCACCATAAATTGCTGGCTCCTGCCTCTCATAGTTTCGATGTAATTTCATAAAAAGTGATGGTCTTTCTTACCCCAGCTCTTGGGGTTTCTTAGACTGGGTGGTAAAACAAATCTTATTTTTTGGTAAAATAACTCCAGGTTTTGGTGCATTGTAGTAGAACTCTTCTAGTTACATATGCAAATGACAAATTTTAGGAAAGTGTCATAGTTTGCGAATTGGGGGTGCCGCCTCCCAATGGGGGAACTTAGACCTCCTAATGTCAGCCATGACGGGGTAAACTTGACCGGCTTGGAAATTAAGTTAAAATTACCATATATAAGACTGTAGAGTCTGAAATATAAAGAAAAAACATTAATAGGTGTATCAAACATAAAATATGTTATACAGGTACCTATGGTATTATGTTATATAGGTACCTATGGTATTTAACTTAATTTCCAAGCCGGTCAATGTTACCCCCGTCACAGCTGCCATTAGGTGGTCAGAGTTCCCCATTGGGGGGCGGTGCCCCCCATTTACAAACTATGACACTTTCCTGAAATTTGTCATTTGCATATGTAACTAGAAAAGGTCTACTACAATGCAGCAAAACCTGGAGTTATTTTACCAAAAAATAAAAAAATTGAAGGAGGTACTCCAACAGGCTTTAAATAATAGCTCTTTTTCATGGGTCACATTTTTAATTTTTTAACCTATTGGATATGCTAACTTTTTAAATCTTTCTATTGTGTTACATAGCCTCAGTATTAGGCCCTTAACGGCCATTGACAAAATTTTTCTATGTCAAATAGTTTTTTTTAGTTTTTGGGGTTTTTGTTGAAAAAAACAAAAAGTGGTCAAAGTTACCCCGGGAGTCAAAGTAACCCCCACTTACGGTACTTTACAATAATAATAATAGCGGTTATTAATTAATTCAGGGTGCAAAGAGCAGGCAAATAGCCTATCAAATTTCAGGCATCTTTGGCAAGTTGACAACACAGAACCTCAGTATCAAAATCTGTATCAAGATCTTTCCTACACATTAGTGACATTACAAATTTGTTAAATACATACCTATTTCCATGCATTTTTTGGCAAAGAGATTTCAAAGGTTTACTCAGTTATGGCAACAAATCTCAAATAATACTAGTTACATTTAGAATAAGGGCCTAAAATGGCAAAATGACAGCTAAAATCTGCATTTACTATTTAGGAGCACAATCAAGTCGTTTATTAGGCATGTGATTCAAATTATCATTCAAGTTTTACAAAAATCTGTAATTTTAATGCCACGATTTTTATCAGAATCATATGTAGAAACACAAATACCAAAATAGTGATTTGAATGTTTAAAAATCAACAGTGCTAGTGTGCTACTGTCGAACAGCTAGGTCACTAACGTCACTTAATTAAATTGACTTAGCCTACTACTCAGTTACTGTATGTGTATCATCAAGAGTCATGACATATCTCGTATCTGAAGGTTAAGCAAACTCTTCTATGTAATTAAGCCCACCAAAAAATACTTACCACAAAGCAGGACTAATCCAAGGAATAATAAAAATCTGTTATCCAGACCAAACATTGTTGGGCAACGTTGGACGAAACAATTGAAGAAACGTCAAGACGCTACAGGAATGTCTCACACACGCACAACGCACTGTCCCACGTCTGGATGCCGGTAGTAGAGTGACGACTGATAAATATTCGCCTACGTACGTCAGCTCATCACAACACATCTGCTGGCTCAACAAATTTGATTCCCGACATTTACAGATTTCATGCATGAAAAAAACTTTTCATATATTAAAATGATAATTTTTTCATTCAACTTTGCTAATAAGGCTAAGAAATTTATAGAGTTTTATCTTCAAACTTGATTGCACCCGTTCTAGAAAATAGGAGAAGGGAGCCGCTGTGGCCAATCCTAGCAGACCACGCTAGTCATGTACCCAATCAGAACGGTGCTGGTGGAAAGTTTCCTTGGACTTGGCCCCCTGTGATTGGTCAGCATTTGGGGATTGCACGCGGCAACTTTGAATCTTATATTAAATCTCTCTCATATCGTTAAGTTCTATTATTTAGAATTGCCTGTCGTTCTTTTCATGGCTTTCTATCTATCATTGTTTTTATGGCTATCTTGTATATTTTTTGATGCGCTTTCTAATAAATGGAACGACTGCCACTGACACTGTTGCTTATTTCTCTAACGTTAGTAACGTTTACCTAGTATATTTATCCAGAAATTAGAAGTATCGATGTCAGCTAGGTGGACCCTTATAGTATTACCTAAATAACCTAAGCCGTAATTATTACCTTTTTTAATTAACAATAGCTAATTTTTTATTTATTATTAATTGTTCAGTTTATCAGTTTATTTAATACTCATTTATTAAATTAACCGCATCTCCATGTAGTTCCTTTACCTGATTACAATTCTATTTATGTTGTTGCGCGTTGTCGTGCTCGCGACAATAGGAGCGCTTTGTATGACATGACATACGTCAAGTATACATTGTTTATTTAACTGTAATTTATTCGTGCACGTTATCGTTTACATCAGATTTCTGCCAGCCTTCGAGAATTTTGATCTATAAACATAAATGGCACCTGTCGGGAGGCACTTGCGTGGTGGATGACGCAATTTTTAATGGTGGTTGCTCGGTAAAAATGAGTAAAACTATAGTAAAATACGAGAAGAAAACTAAAATTTACTTATTACGAGTGAAACTTGGGTGTAAAGTTCCTATTTGAAATCAAGTTTTAACCATGGCAATTTTCGTTTACTTACCGTTGAATCATTGCTGACGTAAATCATCCTGAAATATCTTCCGAGATATCATCACAAACTGGACAGACAACTTTCCCCAATTGCACGAAAAAAATTAATGGGCCATATTGTTCATATAGTGACACACTTTTTGGCCAAAGCACTAAGTAAACACTAATATGCTTTTCGCGTGGCCAAACTGTATAAGGATGACCCAAGATTTAAAAGTGTATCGGTATTTGCGCAAAGTCTCACTTATATCCCTGAGTGTAGACTGTAGTTCGTCCATCGAGTGCAGGTGTTGTTGGCAGCCATCACACATGTCGGTCACTTTCTGTGTTGAAACGAAATAATATTTTTGAAAATTTTCACATGCAGTGATGATTTATATGGAATATTTTATATTTCATATTATTTTAACTTTATTTCACACAAGGATGACAATAGTTAAATAAATTCATCAATACAGTGACCTTTTCAATACATCCATCCAAGATTTCCAGTCGACTCATCAAAAAACAATATATTATGAAAGTATGCTGGAAATATGGTGAAATTAAATTTATTTTACGCTGTATTAACTATAAACATCGATATAGCTTATGCAACAAAATACAACACGAAAGAGCGAAGCAAATATACGAAGCAAACATATCGTTCAATAACATTGCGTTAACATAATTTGAAATTCCTTAATTCATTCCGAAAGATGAATGGCCCATATATCACAGTCCGGAAATAAAGAGATAGCCACATGAAAACCGACCGATTTCTTTAAAGTCAGTGAAGCCACAAAGCTTGAAAAATCCGTCAGTGGTTGGCTAACAGAGTTACGCTCTCGATCGTTACTATTTGTCGATCGTTACTTTTCGATTGTTACTTGTTTGTCTGTTTGTCTGCTACATTACATATCTTATAATCGATATTTAACACACTTCTATACCTGTGCAATCGATCTGAAATTTTGCATGCATTTGCGTAAAGTCGGAAACAATTCATGTAGGTATCAATTGAAAAAACAAAAAAATTTTGCAAATTTTTAAATTATTTTTCTTTTAATTTGAAAATTAAATAAAAAATTAATTTTTTTTAAATTTCACAATGAAATTAGAAATTCATTGTACATGTGTAACACCGGAGACACTGGATTCTTTAGAAGTGTTGTCTTCTAAAATTGTTTGTCTAAAGTAATTTTTAAACGCATATTATTTAAATAATACGGCTTCCGACAGTGTTTGTCAAACCGAGGTACCAACTAATAACTATTTTTGATATTATTGACCCTGAGCACGGATTTAACGACGTAGTCTCGAATGTACAGCTACGTATATAGTTTCGGACTTTGCCACTCTATCAATATGGGCTTTCATTACGTTCATACATAATGCTGGTGGAACACTAAAAAAATCAAGACCAACACGATTACAATATTGCGGAGAAGTTTCCGACACATTTAGCGGACACTCTGTGTTACAGAAGCGACGGTCAATCAAAAAGATTATACCAATCAAGAGAAATCAATATGCCTATACCACTCAATAGAAATCAATAAGCCTACACCGAAAGAGTCTAGTATTTCATTATGAAGAACATTTTCTTCCACTGAAATGATCGTTTGATTGGCCAACAAACTATTTTTTCTTTAGTTTAAATTTAAATTTAATTTGAATTTACAGTTAATTTAAATTTGAAAATTTATTTTCGTGTCATGTACCTGATAATTTCTACTACAATCTGAAAAAAATTTCAAGGGAATTGGACCCAAGGGTCTGCGAAGGAAATTTATTAAAAAAAAATTGGCCTAAAACCATAGCTTTCTATCGTTTAATATCCGAAAAAAAATTGAAACAAAGCCAAAAGTCACTGATTTTTTCAATCTGCATTGGCATGTCTAATTAAATATTGAAATTTAATCAATGGTCTCGGGATGACATGACCTTCTATATCGTAAATAGCATGGAAGTTCGTGGGAATAGTAGTACATGTTTTCTTATCGTTAATAATTAATCTGCATCTGGAGAACTTGGGCGACATTCCCACATACGGCAACAAGGCGACGTGCAAAGCAACAACATATACACGCTGGCGTGGTCTCATTGTGATAGCTTCAGCTATTGACGTGGTAAGGTATTACTTCATATGCAGGTATTATTTCTTCCGCAGGTATTACTTCTTACGCAGGTATTATTTCGTAAGCAGGCATTTCTTCTTACGCAGTATTGCTTCTTACGCGGGTTTTATTTCATACCCAGACATTTATTTCTAAGCAGACAATTCCTAATCAGACATTTCATCTCACGGAGGTGTTTTTTATACTCAGATATTGCTTCTTACGCAAGCAATTCTTCTTTACGCAGGCATTTCGTCCTACGCACGACAATGTGGGCAGCATGTTTTGCCTCGGCATCGTTGCTGCTGGCTTTGGGTGAGTACGTGGACCATCAGCTATGATTTTTTTTTGTATTATAAGACATTGATTGAACATAAAATATATGACCGGATCGACACTTCAACGAACTCGCCTGCGAACTGGCTTGTGCACTCGAACGCAAAACCTAACTTGGCGTTAAACTCACCCTGCTATAAACCCATCAATACTGAACGGATTTCATTCAAATTTGGAAAATGAGTAGATATTATTAATGCGCTGTGGAAGTATCCATTTCAGATTTTTACATCAATTATTTTCTTATTAATACGGAAAACCTAATTTTATGTTCCCTCCCCCAGCCATAATCACTGGATCGATAATTTCAGCGCTCGCACTGAATTGCCCTGAGAATTACAATGACATCGGGAGCGGCTGCGTGCTCGCCCCCGCCGAGCGGTTGCCCGCGCTCGAGGCCCAGAGCCTCTGTCATGACCTGCATGGAGCGCTCGCCACCCTCGACCGCTGCGACATTTTCGCGGACGCTGTGCACTACCTGGAGGAGTCAGGTAAAATGAGCTCTCGATGTTAATATTAGTAAATTAGAATGAAGTGTCAGGTTAAAAGAACCTTCTATGTTTATAGTAGTAAATTAGAATGAAATGTCAGGTCAAATGAGCTCTCTATGTTCATATTAGTACATTAGAATATGAAGTGTCAGGTTGAAAGAGCCTTCTATGTTTTTAGCAGTAAATTGGAATGAAGTGTCAGGTAAAATGAGCCCTCTATGTTTATTTTAGTAAATTAGAATGAAGTGTCTGGTGGAAAGAACCCTCTATGTTCATATTATTGAATTAGAATGAAGTGTCAGGTAAAATGAGCCCTCTATGTTCATATTAGTAAATTAGAATGAAGTGTCAGGTAAAATGAGCCCCTGTGTTTATATTAGTAAATTAGAAGGAAGTGAAAAATGAAAATAACCCTCTGTCTTCCCATTAGTGAATGAAAGTGAAGAGTCATTGGAAAAAACTGCTGTATTGTTACTAGTACATGACAATCTGGTCTAACCATTATACTGAGCTTGAGGGTATCATTATACTGTACTCACCTAAATATCAGAAGTATGAATCGAGCACTCCATTCGTACAATATATGAAGTATTGTTTCCACGTTAGGAAAATTTTTAAAAATATTTCTTCGGAACTTAGCTGCAATTCGATTCTTTATATGTGTTTGTGTTGGCGTATTATGTTTGTTATTTACGTTATGCAGGCGGGGTGAACGATAGTTTTTGGATTATGTTTGTTATTTACCTAATGCGGGCGGGGTGAACGATAGTTTTTGGATTATGTTTGTTATTTATATCATCGATACGTACGTCAAGTCATGCTTTTTAGTCCGTGCAGCAACGGACTAAAAAGGAGAAAATAAAATACTTAAAAATACTTTTTTAAAAAGCACGTTTTTCTCGTGGACTAAAAAGTAGAAAATAAATTATGACTCGCCCCAAAAACGTGGCTCGGGCTGTATGTTCACCATTAAATTTCCAAAATTCGTGTGTTGTGTGCTTTTCGCTTTAATCATAAATCTGCCTGACACACGTTTTTTGGGGCGAGTCATAATTTATTTTCTACTTTTTAGTCCACAAGAAAAACGTGCTTTTAAAAAAAGTATTTTTAAGTATTTTATTTGATATTATAGACCCTGAGCACGGATTTAACGACGTAGTCTCGAATGTACAGCTACGTATATAGTTTCGGACTTTGCCACTCTATCAATATGGGCTTTCATTACGTTCATACATAATGCTGGTGGAACACTAAAAAAATCAAGACCAACACGATTACAATATTGCGGAGAAGTTTCCGACACATTTAGCGGACACTCTGTGTTACAGAAGCGACGGTCAATCAAAAAGATTATACCAATCAAGAGAAATCAATATGCCTATACCACTCAATAGAAATCAATAAGCCTACACCGAAAGAGTCTAGTATTTCATTATGAAGAACATTTTCTTCCACTGAAATGATCGTTTGATTGGCCAACAAACTATTTTTTCTTTAGTTTAAATTTAAATTTAATTTGAATTTACAGTTAATTTAAATTTGAAAATTTATTTTCGTGTCATGTACCTGATAATTTCTACTACAATCTGAAAAAAATTTCAAGGGAATTGGACCCAAGGGTCTGCGAAGGAAATTTATTAAAAAAAAATTGGCCTAAAACCATAGCTTTCTATCGTTTAATATCCGAAAAAAAATTGAAACAAAGCCAAAAGTCACTGATTTTTTCAATCTGCATTGGCATGTCTAATTAAATATTGAAATTTAATCAATGGTCTCGGGATGACATGACCTTCTATATCGTAAATAGCATGGAAGTTCGTGGGAATAGTAGTACATGTTTTCTTATCGTTAATAATTAATCTGCATCTGGAGAACTTGGGCGACATTCCCACATACGGCAACAAGGCGACGTGCAAAGCAACAACATATACACGCTGGCGTGGTCTCATTGTGATAGCTTCAGCTATTGACGTGGTAAGGTATTACTTCATATGCAGGTATTATTTCTTCCGCAGGTATTACTTCTTACGCAGGTATTATTTCGTAAGCAGGCATTTCTTCTTACGCAGTATTGCTTCTTACGCGGGTTTTATTTCATACCCAGACATTTATTTCTAAGCAGACAATTCCTAATCAGACATTTCATCTCACGGAGGTGTTTTTTATACTCAGATATTGCTTCTTACGCAAGCAATTCTTCTTTACGCAGGCATTTCGTCCTACGCACGACAATGTGGGCAGCATGTTTTGCCTCGGCATCGTTGCTGCTGGCTTTGGGTGAGTACGTGGACCATCAGCTATGATTTTTTTTTGTATTATAAGACATTGATTGAACATAAAATATATGACCGGATCGACACTTCAACGAACTCGCCTGCGAACTGGCTTGTGCACTCGAACGCAAAACCTAACTTGGCGTTAAACTCACCCTGCTATAAACCCATCAATACTGAACGGATTTCATTCAAATTTGGAAAATGAGTAGATATTATTAATGCGCTGTGGAAGTATCCATTTCAGATTTTTACATCAATTATTTTCTTATTAATACGGAAAACCTAATTTTATGTTCCCTCCCCCAGCCATAAGTCCATCAATACCGAACGGATTTCATTCAAATTTGAAAATTAAGTATATATTATCATTGCGCTGTGGAGTTATTTATTTCAGATTTTTATATCAATTTGTTTTTTATTAATACGGTAAACTTCACGTTTACCTCGCAGGTTGGGTCCAAGTCAGGTAAAGTTTAAGTATTTTGTAGCATTTAAAAAAAAGAACTATGCTGTTCTTTTTTAAAGAAAAAGAACTTTATTAAAAAGAACTTATGCTAACAACCGGCGAGTTGGCGTTCTTTATAGATATGAATTCTTGAAAAAAAAACGGGTAACATTTTTTAACTCAGGCTGGGTGAGTTGAACTTGAAGTTAGGTTTTCCGTATTAATAAAAACTAATTGATGTTAAAATCTGAAATAAATACCTCCACAGCTCATTGCTAATATCTACTTATTTTTCAAATTTGAATGAAATCCGTTCAGTATTGATGGATATATGACTGGGGGAGATGAACATGCAGGTAGGTTTTCCGCATTAATAAAAAAACTAATTGATGTAAAAATCTGAAATAAATTCCCCTACAGCACATTGATGATATGTACTTATTTTTCAATTTGAATAAAATCCGTTCAGTATTGATGGATTTATGGCTGGGGGAGTTGAACGTGACGTTAGGTTTTGCATTCGAGTGCGCAGGCGGGTTCGCAGGCGAGTTCGCTGAAGTGTCGATTCGGTAAATATTTGCATCAAATAATATAGCAATGCTAGTATTATAGATGATTTTCTCATTCTTACTCGGTTCTAATGTGGTAAAATGCTTAAACAGTAAACATTCATACAACAATTACGAAATATTAACGTGATATTCATAATCACCTGCACTCAATTTGCGGATTTATTTCACTAATAACCACTGAATCGATCATTTCAGCGCACGCACTGAATTGCCCTGAGAATTACAATGACATCGGGAGCGGCTGCGTGCTCGCCCCCGCCGAGCGGTTGCCCGCTCCCGAGGCCCAGAGCCTGTGTCATGACCTGCATGGAGCGCTCGCTACCCTCGACCGCTGCGACATTTTTGCGGACGCTGTGCACTACCTGGAGGAGTCAGGTAAAATGAGCTCTCGATGTTTATGTTAGTAAATTAGAATGTAGTGCCAGGTGCATGGAAAGAGCCCTCTATGTACATATTTGTAAATTAGAATAAAGTACCAGGTGGAAAGAGCCCTCTATGTTCATATTAGTAAATAAAAATGAAGTCAGATGGAAATAAGTCTATGTTTAAATTGGTGCAATATTGTTACTAGTACATGATAATCTGGTCTAACCATTTTACTGAGCTCGAGGGTATCATTATACATTATACTGTACTTTCTTAAATATCAGAAGTGTGAATCGAGCACTTCATCCGTAAAATATATGCAGGATTGTTTCCGCGTTAGGATTTTTTTAAATATTTCTTCGGAACTTGGCTGCAATTTGATTATTTAAATATTTTGGCGCAGTATGTTAGTTATTTACCTAATGCAGGCGGGGTGAACGATAGTTTTTGGATTATCTTAGTTATTTACCTAATGCAGGCGGGGTGAACGATAGTTTTTGGATTATGTTTGTTATTTACCTAATGCAGGCGGGGTGAACGATAGTTTTTGGATCAGCGGCACATATTCAGTGGCGCGAGACGAATGGCAGTGGCGGGACGGTCGTGCAGTCGCCATGGGGGTGCCCTTCTGGGGAACGGTGAGTGATGCATTGGGGTATGATGGTGATTAATATAACATAATACTTACCTTTCACAATAGTTAGTAATGCATAATATATACGTTCTACAATAGTAGTTAATAATACATAATACTTAACTTTTACAATAGTTAATAATTCATAATACCTAACTTATACAATATTTAATAATTCATAATACTTAACTTTTGCAATAGTTAATAATACATGATACTTAACTTCTACAATAGTTAATAATACATAATACTTAACTTATACAATAATTAACTCTTGCTGATTCAGTTGTCTTAATTGAAGCATCTTTCCTGATCAATTCAGGTATTGTGATTCTTTTCTTTTCGATCCTCATTTTGTCTTAAAAAGTTACATAAAATCCTATTACTTAGTTAAAGTCATTTAGACACAGCATCTTCAAATGGTTGTGTGTACAATTAAGTGGAGCGTCTGGCCTAAAATTTTGAATTTCGGCTTCTACGGTTTGTAGTCTCATCTTAAAGCTGACATTCTGACCTATCCAACGGTACTGAAACCATCTTTGTACGTTGATTTATGCGTTCACGACAGATTGCGAAAGGGTTGGGGGTGGTGGAGTTCCTTCACAGATAAGATCTACAGTAATTGCTGGCAGTGCAGATAAATAGCTGGTCTGGACTCTGGAACATGATGCGCTTCAGTTACCCGGCTGGTGTCGTGTGGGATGGTTATCTTGCAGTCGTTCGCACCATCCTTGACAGAAATTGAGCTCCAGTATCGACTAGTCTCGCATCCTTGCAATCTTGAAAGCCTATTTCGAGGCGCGCGGGACTTTGTCGCGCTCTACTGAACATATCGAACTTATTATGACAGCAAACCTATCTCCTCCTAGAGTTTTTAAGCTACAGCGATGAGAGATATACCGTTCGATTTGCAAAGGAAAGATCTAGAGAACTGCGTTGGCCTTTTTCTAATTTCGTTATAGTTCGGAATTTTTTCGCAAAAAGGCTGTGTAGCGAGGAGTAAAATAGAAAAATTTCCGAAATATTTACGAAAAATGCCCTCCCACCCTCAAAAATGAGAATTTCGGAAAACGCCAACGCAATTTATAACTATGGTCTTTACACATCGAATGATATGTGTCTCGATGTTATAGCTTGAACACCCTAGAAGGAGATAGATTTCTGCAGCACCCCCTTTTTTGGCCGTTTTCTAAGAATTACAGGTTTTCTTTCATTTTTTTCGAAAAATTTACATCAACAAAAAAGTCTAAGATTTCTATTTTACATATGTGTACCAAGTTTCAATGTGATCCGTCTGTAAATAACCGAGATACAAAAAGACCCAGACACTCCCCTTTAAATGATACTTCGAGAACTGTATTTTTCATAATATTCCAAGTCGAATATCCATGCATATAACATATTGGTTCCCTCAATAGTCTGGTGGTGGCGCCTTGGAGCCTTCCCAAGGAAACTGTTCATCATTTTTCCACAAAAGTAATCCCTACTTGGGAGCATCGCCATGCGACGAACATTACTCGCCTCTCTGTGAAGAGCCACCAACTCTAGGTGAGGATAAATACAACACTATTTTGTAATTGTCATGCAAGGCTAATAATAATATATCAAGTGGAATGCTTTGCAATGAAAGTACCTGCGAATTTTAAGCCAATTAAAACAGTATCAGCCCTCTTGCAAAAACGTGTGGAATGTTACTTCTTCATTGAAAAAATATCCCTGGTTTTATTAAATTGTCTGATGCAAATAACTTTCTTTACAGAGGGCCGTTGCAACGTGCCATCCACGGCGGTTGGTAGCCAGTGTTTGAGATTTGCTGTCAACGACACTACGTCCTGGGAAACTGCAAGAATGATGTGCTCGGCCAATGATGGAGACCTGGCAAGCTTCGGCAGCTGCGAGCAGTTCAGCGTAGTGGTTGATTACATACTCAAGCATGGTGAAGTATTGTTTGTTGCACAATAATTTAAACTTTTAGTGAATTTAGTTGCACGAGGTGTGTCTCTGACAAGATTTCCTCAAAATACAGTGGTCATCCTCATTTACTTAAGCCATTTGTCTATTATTGCACACGCGAACAAACCTCGCACAAAAAAGTACCGACCGTTGAGTGTACAAAAATGTCACAATCCCTGACTTTTTATCTTCAATAAAACTCAATAAACGATTGTGTTTACTGGCCAGATTTGCAGTCAATAAACGGATACTGGGTGGGCGGCTTCCTATCAGATGAGAAGCCAGAATGGTCCTGGGTTGACGGGTCTTCACTGCCTCTAGGAGTACCTTTCTGGGGCCAGGTGAGTTGGCTTACGCCTCTAGGAGTACCTTTCTGGGGCCAGGTGAGCTGACTGACGCCTCTAGGAGTACCTTTCTGGGACGCCTCTAGGAGTACCTTTCTGGGGCCAGGTGAGCTGACTGACGCCTCTAAGAGTACCTTTCTGGGGCCAGGTAAGTTGGCTGACGCCTCTAAGAGTACCTTCCTGGGGCCAGGTGAGCTGACTGACGCCTCTAGGAGTACCTTTCTGGGGACAGGTGAGCTGGCTGACGCCTCTAGGAGTACCTTTCTGGGGCCAGGTGAGCTGACTGTCGCCTCTAGGAGTACCTTTCTGGGGCCAGGTAAGTTGGCTGACGCCTCTAAGAGTACCTTTCTGGGGCCAGGTGAGCTGACTGACGCCTCTAGGAGTACCTTTCTGGGGCCAGGTGAGCTGGCTGACGCCTCTCGGAGTACCTTTCTGGGGCCAGGTGAGCTGGCTGACGCCTCTAGGAGTACCTTTCTGGGGCCAGGTGAGCTGGCTGACACCTCTAGGAGTACCTTTCTGGGGCCAGGTGAGCTGGCTGACGCCTCTAGGAGTACCTTTCTGGAGCCAGGTGAGCTAGCCGACGCCTCTATAGGAGTACTTCTCTGGGGCCAGATGAGTTGGCTGACGCTTCTAGTAGTATCTATCTTGGGACATGTTAGCTGGCTGACTTTGATCCTTAAAATGAACTTTACGAATTTGTGTGCCTGGAAAATATATATTTTTTTCTAAGCTGAGCACGTAGATGCATCTCAAATGAAATTTAGGAGCAGGCACATTCTGATGGCATTCCATGTTCAATTACATGTGGTACGAGTTTATAGAGAAAATAAAGCGTAAAAAACTAATCTTGTGTCAAGTTTAAATTAATATCAAATGAATGCACAATCATGGGTTAAGAAGTTATTCGCAATCATGGGAAGAAGTTATTTCAGTATCTTACATCATAAATTATATTCCCATAGAACAAAAAATTACAACTTTGAAAAGATTTTGCTGCATAGGAGTGAATGGTGTTTTTGACATATATTGAACGCACATAGTACGCCAAAAATTAATTTCTATTGCAGCATCACGTTCCCGTGAACTGCCATTTTTTCACCAGAATAACGCCGGTCAACTCCTTCCCAACAACTCGACAGTTGAACGCTGCCTTGAACTCGGCTCCGAATATCGACATCGATTCAACGATCTCGACTGCCAAGAATTGCGTCGGCCGCTCTGTATGGCAGCTTCACTTATCTGATGATACCTTGCAAATATTCATCAAGTCATTGGAATAATATACTGCATGGAATAATTTACTGCTTTACATCAAGTCATTCAGATATGCGCATGGATTCTGGGAGCAGCGGTGTTCAAAAGTTGTATTGATAGGATGTGGTGTAATTATGGCAATAATTTTACCTCATTTGGCCACTAATATAATGAATTTGAGTCATTGAAGCCCAAACCAGTGCTGAATCATGTTGCCGAGGTAAGACTGATACTTTGCATAATTCAGCCAATTAATAATTACGCACAGTGATGGTGTGTTTAACATGCTACTAACATATAAGCTGTAGTATTCCTGAAACTAAAATTTGTACAATCTCTGAAAATTCTAGCGTCATTTATAAATAGTATGTTATTTACTCTGATTTTCAGCCAAGCTTTTGTAAAAAAGTGAAATTTAGAATCGAATTGATTGCGATGTATTTTAAATCAAGAATTTGGTTAAAAAAATTTCAAAGAAGCGGCAGCGGGGTCCAGAGCTGACGGTGAGAGTTGGAATGCTCGAGTATGACTGATCTTTTGCTGACTGTCTTCTTAGGATGATTGTCGTTCGACAGTAGAAAACTCGAAACTGACACCCGACACGGGCGGATGAAACCCACAGGTTGAATTATTCTCGCCCATGCCTTCTTAATGGCCGTGAATACTCAATTGTCATCGATGACTCAATAGTGGTCCGTCAATTTAGTATTTGCCTTGAATCTTCATAAATTATATCGTAAAATTTTTAATCAAATGCATAACCATTGTCAGCTCAATTCCATAAATAAATTATGCTGATAAATTGTCAACATAATTTGGGGTTCGGTAAAACTTTCGATACCGGGTTCAATGAGCAGATTTTGTTGTACACATTAAATGAAATATTTGTTTTTATTGAATATATGTATATATGAAAACTCAGTCGCTCTGAAAGACTTTTTCTTTGCTTGCACAAGCATCATAGTATCCTCATGGTGGTCTCAATTTGGAATAATAGCAAGATAAAGGAATTGAATACCGAAATATGAGCCTGCAAAATTCTGGTTTTCAAAAAGCACCGTATAGCCAGAAAGATACTTAAATGCAAAAGCGTTTAATTTGAATTTAATTGATGCTGTTCACACACATGATATGAAAGGCAATGTGCTTTTTAATAATTTTAACATTAGATTAATATCAAATAGGTTCTACAGTCTTTCTTTGGTACTCCAGATGAATGCTGTTGCAAACGTATGGCGTTAGCAAGTAATGGAGATGCGATTGAAGGTCATGCACATATGAAAAGGAAACACGGGCGTCACTAAGGAAGAAACTTTAATTGCATGGAACATAACATCGAGCACAGCAGTTATACTGGTGATACGGAAGAAATTGCTCATTATAACTAAATTTGTAGATACAAAAAAGTAACAATAAAAAAATATTTCCAGAAGAGTATCTACACTTTCAGTCACTTCACTCAAATTTCCATATAGTTTACCATATACTTGTATCCTCAAGCAATACCTTTGAATACCGCCTTTCCAATCTCCATACGCACCGTCGCTGGTAGCTCCAGGTTAGACCATGCCCTGCATCCCTTGACATACTCAAGTGCTGTCGAAAATTCCCAGACAACAAAAGATTAAAGTATCATCAATAATAAAGGCCCACTTCGCTCGCATCGTTTTCCTGCAACGGCTAGCCCAGAAATGGTCGTTCAACCGCAAATTGTCCCACGAATTGTTGTCAGCCGGATAAAATTCCCATGAAAAACTTGACACTGTATGGCTTTTAAATAAAAAACGGTTCATACATCGAATATAAATGTTTCGAGAGAACTTTCGTATCGTTCACGTACGTACTACAGGCTGATTTGTATGTATTAGATCTCTTCTATAAATTTGTTGTAAAGTGCACCAAACGAGCAATGATATTTTGCTCGCTTGTAATCGTGCCTCAAATATCAATAGCGAATAGCGATAAGTCCATTAGCATGTAATTCAATATTAATAAAATTATTATGGCAGTTCATGAGTAATTCATAATATAAAAGAGCATTCATGGCGCCATTTTTTGTTGAATAACGTAACTATATCCAACACAGCAGTTCGAGTGAACCGTTTCCCAAGTCCTCCTATCAAAAAGCGCTTATTATTACAATATGGTTAATTTTCCTGCGTCGTTCCCATTGATTTTACGTTGAAATAACAAGCCTGGGAACCACAGCCATCAGTGCAGGTAAATGTTGAACATCTGCAGTGGTCGCCAAGGTTGTGTTGGAGAAGTACAACAATCAAGTGTTAGGGTGCAAGAATTATTTAGTTATACTTATAACATAACATAATATCTCATATTTTCAACTCTCAAATATATTTTATTTATTTTTACAATACATTAATTTCAGTTTTAAAATTTAATTAGGTTTATATTGTCATACGAACATAGCCATCATTCAAATATGGTAAAAAAACTGAAACAGTGAAAACAATGAAACGGTGGAAAAACCTGCAATTGATCTTCATTTCCTATATATGAGTCCTATCCAACGCTCAGGAAGTGACTGTGCGTTGGGTAAGACTTATTCAAACACAGTAAATCCTATTCTAAAACCCAATTCCGCGTCTGAGTAGACTGAAAAAATTGAATCTTTCTATTTCCATTGATAGATTAATTATTCATTTTGAATTTATACGTACATAATTAGGAATCTATTATATTTGGCCCACCATATAGAATAACCCTGTATATTGGTACATATGGCTTTATGACATTCCAAAATTAGATTGAAAATTTTGATAATTCTTTCCTATAAAAAAGAAATTAACAAATATTAGAGGTTCACCAGACACCGTGAATTATTGAACACATTAAGTTTTCTCTGGCATAATAATTTCTTGCGTTAATTAGAGCGATCGCTGCGTTATAAATGAGCATTATTTAAATGACATGATAAGGTCTGCAATTTCTTCGGCAGGTAATAATTCTCACTGACGGCAATGTGGCAAACTCGTCTTGCCACGGCATCACTTCTGCTGATATCAGGTGAGAGGGCTACAGACAAAAATTTGCTCCAGTTTTATCTCAAATTTATTTAAAATTTTTTTCATTTCTTTGTGAAAGCATCTAATTTGACCGATAATAACAAAGTTTGAGCGAAAACCCAGCTGTACCTCTGCAATCTCAATGGTAAATTTGAAGTTATTCAACATTCACCGCAGCGTTTTATTTTAAGAAAAAAGTAACATGAAGTCAAACAAGAAACCGGTCTTCTTTCCATGGAAATATCCACTCAATAGAACTTTCAATGTTATTGATTGGCGCTCAATTGATCGTTTCGACCTATAAATATACGCACTCATATCATCATTCCAGCTAAAACAGTGGGTTATTTGACTTCGATTTTCTAAAATCAGGATTAATAAATAATTTCAGCATACGCATTGAATTGTCCGGCGAATTACGATGACATCGGTAGCGGTTGCGTGTATGCCCCTGACGAGCAGTTGACCGCGCTTGAGGCCCAGGTTCTGTGTCATGATTTTCAAGGGGAACTCGCCACCCTCGACCGCTGCGACATCTTCACGGACGCCGTGCACTACCTCGAAGAAACAGGTGCAAAATAGTTCTTGTTGAACAGAGTTAGAGGGATCAGTGTATGTTACTATGTAACGACCTCCTTAGCTGGTATTAATTCCAGCATTGCATTATTAATTTTTTCGATAGTGCATTGATTCAAAAATAAATTTATTCAAGTTATAAATTATATATTAGTGTACCTGAGGTACAAAATATTATTACGTTTGATCATTCTCGCAGACAAGAGGCTTTACAATACATCACAATTTCTCGCTATATCGAATATGAGACATAGCTTAACTATAGTCCAATTTAGAACTGTAGTCTAATAGATTATCTCATCCTACCCAATGCAGGTGGGATGAACGATAGTTTCTGGATCGGTGGAACGTACTCAGTGACCCGAGATGAATGGCAGTGGAGGGACGGTTCTGTTATAGCCATGGGGGCACCATTCTGGGGAACGGTGGGTAGATTCTATTATATTATGACAATGCAAGTTCAACTTTGTTTCATACAGCTATGTTTTGCAGACAGTTCTTTGAAATAAACGCATCTTTACTGATTAGACATAATCTGCTGAACTTAGATCGATAGGTTAGAAATGGTATTTGCATGCTAAATATCGTCCTTAACCGTTGATCCGGAATTGGTCGATGTTAAGCAGTTTCATTAAAATTTGCTAGCATGATTACGGAATAAATCAGTGGCAAAATCTTATTTTCGTCAACAGGCTGATGGAGGCACGTGGGAGCCTTTTGGAGGTAACTGCACTGGGATTTTCTATGGAGATAACCCCTACATGGGGGCGTATACTTGCGACGCGGAGTTTCATCACATCTGTGAGGGACCATCAACTGCAGGTGGGGCATATAAAAAAAATATTAATATGTAAAATATGTAAATATTTGAGCATTTATTTATTTACTTGATCAGCATGCTTTGAAATCAAGAAGAATGAGTGACGTAACAACTATGACCACACGCTAGAAATTTAGCATATAGCATAGTGAAGTGGGCGCTGAAGAATAGGCCTGATGCGGCCTTTCGCCGATTCTTGTACATTTCGTGACTTGTCCATAGGAGATCTAACAACAGGTCCTTCCAATGGATCTTTTCCTAACAGTCGATAGTTTTTAATATTTACTAGACTTCCACCGGCTTCGATATGGTGCTGGGCATTTTAAGTCTGAACATATATTTGTCCATAGCTTTATCTATTCTATTCTTGAACGCGTTTAAACTCGGAGCATCAACGATGTCATCGCGGAGGCGGTTCCACATGTCGGTGATTCGAAGCGAGAAGAAATGTTGTCGCGTGGATGAATTGCAACGCAGTTTTTTTAGTTAATAGCCGTGGCCCCTGGTGTTGGCTCTTGTTTCAAATGCTAGTAATCCTTCTGGGACCTTGTACAAACCATGAGTATACTTGTATACTTCGATGAGGTCCCCACGCAGACGTCGATAACAGTGGCTTGAAAGCTTCATAATCTTTAATCTTTCTTCATATGACTTGCCTTTCAAACATGGAATTATCCTTGTTGCACGTCTTAATTTTAACACTCGCCACTAAATTTCTTTCCTTTTCAAGTTTCGGTGACCACACGACGCTTCCAAACTCTAGGTTCCAAACTAAAGGCAACGAGCAACTGCTTCATCGCATCTGCATCTAGGAACTCGAAAGAGCCTCTTAGCAGTCCAAGAAGTTTGTTGGATTTATTAGCTCGCGTTTTAATATGTTGAGAAAATTTCAGCTTTTCGTCGACATAAACTCTCAAATCTCTTTCAATACTAGACTTTTCAATCATTACTCTCTCGTTGCAACCATCTCTTCTCATATTATAATCATGCTGTTTATTGTTCTTTCCGAGGTGAAGTACTTTACACTTGTCAGCATTGCAACGCAGGTGCCACGTATCAGCCCAGTTAACTAAACTGTCAAGATCATCTTGCAATTGCACTTTATTTGACCCATCCTTCAAGATATCACAAACTTTTGTGTCATCGGCATACATGGAGCACACGCTTGACACTTCTGAAAGATCGTTCATAATATCAACGAACAAAACAGGCCCAAGAACGCTTCCTTACATGTGGGATGCCACTGCGCACTGATGCCCAGTCTCATACGGTTCCGTTAATGCTGACCCGTTGTCGTCTACTTATACTAGAAAATCTCTGATCCATTTGAGTACATTTCCCTCTATTCCCAAAGACTTCACTTTACGCAACAGCCGCTCATGCGGAACACTGTCAAATGCTTTGGCAAAATCGAGGTACAATGACAAGTTCAACTTTGTTTCATACAGCTATGTTTTGCAGACAGTTCTTTGAAATAAACGCATCTTTACTGATTAGACATAATCTGCTGAACTTAGATCGATAGGTTAGAAATGGTATTTGCATGCTAAATATCGTCCTTAACCGTTGATCCGGAATTGGTCGATGTTAAGCAGTTTCATTAAAATTTGCTAGCATGATTACGGAATAAATCAGTGGCAAAATCTTATTTTCGTCAACAGGCTGATGGAGGCACGTGGGAGCCTTTTGGAGGTAACTGCACTGGGATTTTCTATGGAGATAACCCCTACATGGGGGCGTATACTTGCGACGCGGAGTTTCATCACATCTGTGAGGGACCATCAACTGCAGGTGGGGCATATAAAAAAAATATTAATATGTAAAATATGTAAATATTTGAGCATTTATTTATTTACTTGATCAGCATGCTTTGAAATCAAGAAGAATGAGTGACGTAACAACTATGACCACACGCTAGAAATTTAGCATATAGCATAGTGAAGTGGGCGCTGAAGAATAGGCCTGATGCGGCCTTTCGCCGATTCTTGTACATTTCGTGACTTGTCCATAGGAGATCTAACAACAGGTCCTTCCAATGGATCTTTTCCTAACAGTCGATAGTTTTTAATATTTACTAGACTTCCACCGGCTTCGATATGGTGCTGGGCATTTTAAGTCTGAACATATATTTGTCCATAGCTTTATCTATTCTATTCTTGAACGCGTTTAAACTCGGAGCATCAACGATGTCATCGCGGAGGCGGTTCCACATGTCGGTGATTCGAAGCGAGAAGAAATGTTGTCGCGTGGATGAATTGCAACGCAGTTTTTTTAGTTAATAGCCGTGGCCCCTGGTGTTGGCTCTTGTTTCAAATGCTAGTAATCCTTCTGGGACCTTGTACAAACCATGAGTATACTTGTATACTTCGATGAGGTCCCCACGCAGACGTCGATAACAGTGGCTTGAAAGCTTCATAATCTTTAATCTTTCTTCATATGACTTGCCTTTCAAACATGGAATTATCCTTGTTGCACGTCTTAATTTTAACACTCGCCACTAAATTTCTTTCCTTTTCAAGTTTCGGTGACCACACGACGCTTCCAAACTCTAGGTTCCAAACTAAAGGCAACGAGCAACTGCTTCATCGCATCTGCATCTAGGAACTCGAAAGAGCCTCTTAGCAGTCCAAGAAGTTTGTTGGATTTATTAGCTCGCGTTTTAATATGTTGAGAAAATTTCAGCTTCTCGTCGACATAAACTCTCAAATCTCTTTCAATACTAGACTTTTCAATCATTACTCTCTCGTTGCAACCATCTCTTCTCATATTATAATCATGCTGTTTATTGTTCTTTCCGAGGTGAAGTACTTTACACTTGTCAGCATTGCAACGCAGGTGCCACGTATCAGCCCAGTTAACTAAACTGTCAAGATCATCTTGCAATTGCACTTTATTTGACCCATCCTTCAAGATATCACAAACTTTTGTGTCATCGGCATACATGGAGCACACGCTTGACACTTCTGAAAGATCGTTCATAATATCAACGAACAAAACAGGCCCAAGAACGCTTCCTTACATGTGGGATGCCACTGCGCACTGATGCCCAGTCTCATACGGTTCCGTTAATGCTGACCCGTTGTCGTCTACCTATACTAGAAAATCTCTGATCCATTTGAGTACATTTCCCTCTATTCCCAAAGACTTCACTTTACGCAACAGCCGCTCATGCGGAACACTGTCAAATGCTTTGGCAAAATCGAGGTACAATGCATCCATTGGCTCCCTTTCGTACAACAGGCGAGTCCACTCGTTCAACGTAGACAAGAGATTAGTGGTACAGGTTCTACCGGCAATAAAGCCATGTTGACAGTCTTGAACAATGGTGTTTCTTAAGCGTCATTCCAAACGGTCGGCAAAAATCCTCCGTTTAAGGTTTTTCGAAATAATACTGCCAAAGGGCTGGCCAGGATGGTTGCTAATTCATTGAGCAATCTGGGGCGGAAGCCGTCTGGTCCACATGACTTGTTGGGGTTTAGGGCGACCAGGCGCTTTAGAATCTCTTCTCCATGTATTTCAAAACTTGTTAATTTCGAGGCTTCTGGGCGCTCCTCAATAGCTTGTCTTTTATTATTAGCTGGAAATGTGAATGCAATTTGCGCAAGATATGAAATAAGAACATTGACACATGATAAGCTTCTGAAAGCAGAAGCTTATTTAAAGATCTGAATATTTCAATTATAAAAACAAGAATGCGTTTCATGCTCCCCAGAGGGTCGTTGCAACCTCCCCTTCACGCCGGTGGGCAGTCAGTGCCTGAGCTTTGAAAACGCAACGCAACAGTCCTGGCAGATCTCGAGGAATATCTGCCAGGTAGATGGAGGCGACCTTGTCACCTTCGACGACTGCGAGCAGTTCAGCATTGTGGCTAACTACATACTTGAGCATGGTGAATACTTAAATAATTAATTATATGTCATTTTGAAATCTAAATAGCTAATTACGAATTGTTTTTGCTTCGAAAAAGTTTGCGTAACATCGTTTGCATGGGAGCACTTGCTACCCCACATTGAGGACGCTCGCAAACGATCATAGTGCAGGCAAGCTTACTTTCAATAATTTAATCCCTCTTGGATACTTGCATTGCCACTTTCTATATATTTCAAAAAAGCTGTACGTAACATTAAACAATTTGGCCAGATTTACAGTACATAGACCGGTACTGGGTGGGTGGCTACCTTGAAACTTGGGACACGGAGGACTGGTTCTGGCTCGATGGTTCCTCTATCCCTATGGGAGTTCCGCTGTGGGGGCAGGTAAGATGGCTGATAACAAATTTTTAGAACTGGTAGAAATGCTTAGATAAAAATCAATAGTAGTGCGTTTGTTTCCAATTTATTCACTGATCGATTTTCCCTCAGCCCCTATACTAAAATTATTAAGACGTGGATTAGCATATGTGGTGAGAGAACGTTTTTTTTTAATTTGCTACACATTTAGTTGAAGAAAATTCTTCCTCGTATTATAAACGAATACCGATGAAATTCAGCATTGTTGCATGAATTTTGTATCTAAACCGTCAGTACGACTTCTTCGGTATTCATAAAGACTAGTCTCATTTGTAAGACGGAAGGCTTCGTCTTCACCTACCTCTATAAAAAATGGCTAATAATGAAATATTATTTTTCAAGCATCATTAAATCCATCAAATTGTCTGATATTTTCTTCTTGATTAGTTCTACGTTGGAGAATTGCTCCCCGACAACCCGACAGTCGAGCGGTGTCTGGAACTCGGTTATGAATATCGGCATCGGTTCAACGATCTTGACTGCCTAGAGTTGCGCCGGCCGCTCTGCATGACATCGCCAGTTGAATGATGTTGTAAAAGTAGGAAGATAAAATTCTAAAATTCCCGTGGCAGAATCATATTTAATAAGTTGAATCATTCAGAGCAAGAACATTCACAGGTATATAAAGTCGTGCAAAAGAGATCACATGAAAAAATATCATAATCTGAATTTAAATCTGGCCGTCATTATTTGAACATATATGAAATAGAATGTAGATGATGTAAGCTGAAATAAGTATTTACCCGTAATTTCACGTATCGAAAACATATATTTTGTCGTGCTACGCCTAACGCTTCATTTGTGAGCTCTTTTGTCGTTCACTCAGGGATTTTTTTGTTTGCTTGAATCTAGACAGCGATTATAATTTGCTACAAGATCAATTTCAGAGGAAATTATTATTGTAAATAACGAAATTTGTACATAGTAAAACCAATTTCGCATATGATGACTCATGTTTCGTCTCCTTTTACCCTCCTCACGGCCGGCAAACCCTATTACTTTCACCGCCGTCCGAAATCCGCAAGTTGGAAAGTCTTCGACGGAATTTGACGGAACGTGAAACTCTACTAGACTCGACCTAGTCTTTAACTTGTGATTTTCTCAGTTTTTCAACTTGTTTTTTATTCTTCCAATGTACGATGGCTAGACAGGGAGGAAAGAAGCTAGTGGGAAAGGCCTTTAGTTCTGCTAGGCAAAATTCGAAGACAGAATAACAAAGAGCGAGGAGAATTTTGTAAATTCTGCAAGCTGTTTTTGGCCACCGTCAACGATCACCTGTAAGCTTTGTGGGGATTTCATTTGCAACAATTGTGCAAAGTTGAGCAATGCAGAAAGCTCAGTTATTCGTGGAAACGAGGCAGTGCATTGGTATTGTCAGGACTGTCAGCAAACTGCACACAGTGCGAAAAACTGTTGAAAGAGAAGGGCTCTTCCATGTTCACAGTCTTCAGAGCCGAAATGGAATGGACTCGCATGGAAAAGTTGAGCTTATTTCGTAACGAAATAAGCTCATAACGGACCGAAGTAGTAGAAATTAAAGCTCATTTTAACGCAAAAAATAACGATTACACAGAGGTTGCGGGCCGCAAGCGGTCGTATCAGATCTCACCAGGGAATGAACTCGTGAGACTTCGGGTAGAGGTAGAGGAAAATGCAACCTCGTTTGGTTTGGGGTTCCAGAAAGCACTTCTTCGGAGACGTGTGAGAAAGTTGCTGCTGACTATGCGTTTATCATTGATTGTTGTGGTTAGGTTCTTATAGTCTCAATGGATACATTGGCATGCAAGAGGCTACGAAACCGTAAACCGCTGCCATCAACGTAAATCGCTGCTGGCGACTGTGAAGGATATTTGGTACAAAGCCAATTAAATATCATCCAGTATCTCGATATTCTTTGAAATTTCTGATCAAGTAGGAATCTACTCAATCGCCTCAGCATGAAATGTCTTGGAACTACTTTTCCGTAGATTGCGTGTAAGTTCGTGCGAATCATAGTTTTGTAATCGTGAATTGCGATCATCTCCATCTGGTGAATTTGAGCGCCGCTCCCACGTACATCGACAAGGCGATATGCAAACCAACGACATACACGCTGGCGTGGTTTCATCATAAGAGCTTCAGTGACGTGGTCTCACCATAATAGCTGCAGTGACGTGGTCTCATAATAAGAGCTGCAGTGACGTGTTTAATCATATAAGCTTCATTGACGTGGTCTCATTACGGGAGCTGCAGTGACGTGGTCTCATCATATGAGCGACAGTGACTTGGTCTCATCATAGGAGCTGCAATGCGTGGTCACTCTCTATCAAGATCTAGTAGATATGGTTTTTGATAATAAAATGAACTTTCATCGTCGTGGCGCTTTTTTAGCTCGGTAACGTTGATGTACCCTGCACAGCAGTTCACGGAATCGTTTCTCAAGTCCATATTATTTTCATAAGGATAATTATTGGCCTGCGTCGTTTCCATTGACTTTACGGCAATATTGTTATCTCAGCAGGCAATGTTAGGTTGAATCAACGTTGAAACAACGCAACTCACGACGTATAAATAGCGTTGAATAATAATTTATCATGAAAATTGAATCAACGTCATTTTTTCAACGTTGTTTCAACGTTGAAATCGCGTTGACATCTGATGGTAAAATTGTGAATATATACATGCGATTTTAAAGTCAAAATTTAACGCGATTTCAACGTTGGTTGAAACAACGTCGAAATGTACGACGTTGAAAAAATGACGTAAATCAGCGTCGTGAGTTTTGCTGTTTCAACGTTGGTTCAACTTGATACTGCCTGCTGGGACAGGGAATAACATCAATTTAAGCAGATCAGTAATTATCATTTGGTCGTAACAATTTGTCAAATGTGATTTAGCGCTTTCCGCACTTTAGGTTTTGCTCACTACGTACATCAGGGATTTATTCATTCTTGTTTCAGAGACAAGCTGGAGAGGACTCCAAGATTACTACGCAATTGTACAGTCATATATGTTACCCAATAAATTGTGAATACCAAATATATTGTGAATCCTTATGCGTATCTGTACTGAAACCTTTGCATGACAGTATTCGAGATACAGTGATATAAAGACACATTTCCCAATCAATATTATAATTAAGCATGGGAAACACCGCTATCTGTGCACCGGCCAATATTAAAGTAGCTCCAGCGGCTTCTCCATCACTGCCTGCCAAGGAAAGGTTGAAAAAGCATATTATCGGCTTTTGCAGTATAATTATTTGCAGGTAAATGTACATTTTTCATTAGCTTGCATTCTTATGCGAACGCAGTCAGCATTGAAAAATGTTAATTACTCTGAAACGGGGTGAACACTATTATACGAGTAAAATATCTGTTGATAATGTTTTATAAAGTTCAATTATTATTAAAAAAGTGTTCTGAAAATTTAGAAACTTCCTTCTTATAAAAACATGTTCACAAGTCAAGTACGACAAGTTCATTGGAAGCCGTGAATTAGTGTATCGTATCCAGTTATTTTACCCTGGTGTCATATTTCTTTAGTCAATGAGATCGATCTCATTGCGTTATAAATGAACATTATTTAAACAACATGCAACTGTCTGCAATTTTTTCCGCAGGCAATAATTCTCACTGAACCGCGATGTGGCAAACTCGTCTTGCCATGGCATCACTGCTTCTGGTCGCTGGTAAGAAGGCTTCGGGCCAGCACTTAATTGCTTCAGTTCAATCCAAATTTTGTTTTAAAATACTTTTTCTACTTTGCGAAATAATTTAATTTGATTGATAAAAACCAAGTTTGAGCGCAAAACAAAGCTATGTATTTGCAATCTAGATCGTAAATTTGAAAAGTTCATCAATATTCATACAGCGCTTAGTTGTAAAAATAGTAATATGAAAGCATATGATAAGTCGTGCCTTTTATGTTGAAAATATGCACTTTTATGATCATTCCCTCAGGAGGGACTTCTGACGGGTGTCTGTGCTTGTCAAAAGTCCTGTAAGATTTTGCGTTCCCAGCTAGGGATTGTTCCTGAGCGCCCCACCGCTGAGCTCGCGGCGTCTGACTGCAGGTCTCAGTTGTGGGGTTAAGTTATTATGTAGGTAGAATTCCTTACATTTTCATTCTTTGTCTCTCTCGTGCGGGCGACCGACGCCCCGTGGAGTGCCACTTGTTCGAGTGTCTTAGTTTCTGTTGCTATTCACCTGTCCCGTCTTGTCACTTCGTCTCTTTGAGATGTTGCCGCTGCTTCTTTAGAGCCAGCTTAAGGCCCTGATTGAAAGCCGTGCGAAGTCTGAGAGCGAGGTTTTCGCGACCTTCAATTTATTAAATAAGTTAATAGATAATTATTGAACCTAAGGTACCAAATAATATATGTATTGATCTCTGTAGGCGAAGCTAGGTTTCATTGCACATCACCATTTCTCGCGATATAGAGTATGAACCATAGCGTAACATATTCTAAATAAGAACTGTATTCTGACAGCATTTATTTTCCTACCCAATGCAGGTGGGATGAATGATAGTTTCTGGATCGGTGGAACGTACTCAGTGACCCGAGATGAATGGCAGTGGGGGGACGGTTCTGTTATAGCCATGGGGGCACCCTTCTGGGGAACGGTGAGTAGTTTCTATTAAATTATGATAATGCAAGTTCAACATTGGTTAATAATAATGCAAGTTCAACATTGGTTCATAAATTTGTTTTACACACAATTTTTCCAATTATACTCAACTCGACTGATTAGACATGATCTGATAAACTTTGATCGACAGATTAGAAATGGTATTTGCATGCTTAACATCGTCATTAACTGTTGATCTGGAATTGGTGGATGTAATGTAATTTCATTAAAATTTGCAATCATGATTACGGAACAAATCAGTAAAAGACATCTTATTTTTCGTCAACAGGCTGGCGGAGGCAAGTGGGAGCCTTTTGGGGGCGACTGCACTGCAACTTTCCATGGAGATAATCCCTACATGGCGGGGTATACTTGCTCATGGGAATTTCATTACATCTGTGAAGGGCCACCAACAGCAGGCGAGGGGCTGGTATATATTAAACATTTATTTATTCGATGACCTTACATCGAAATGAAAAAAATTATAAAAACCGTGACCTTATGATACAGATATGGATAAATTTTGCGTGCGATATAAATTAAGATTATTACCTAAATCTGCATTTTAGATCAGCAGCTTTAATATCTAAATATTTAAGTCATGAAAATAAAATGTATTTCACGTTCTTGCAGAGGGCCATTGCAACCCCCCTTACAAGGCGGTAGGAAGTCAGTGCCTGAGCTTTGAAGGGTCAGCCGTTCAGTCATGGGAGTCATCGAGAAATATCTGCCAGGCGGATGGTGGCGATCTGGTCACATTCGATAATTGCGAGCAGTTCGGAGTAGTGGCTAATTACATCCTCGAGCAAGGTTAATAAACGTTCAATATCCAATCGACCAAGCAGATAGATTCAGCTGATATATTAGTTGCCATGGAAAGAAGTCTCTGAACATTATTGGTCAAATGCTCCCGCTGGAGCTTCTAGAGTAAAGCTAGTTGTGTGGTATCTATAGTTGGTTTGCTAAAAAATAGCATTCATAGTGAAGATATTGTATCAAATGCATAGTGTACGTTAATATCATTGAAAAAATTTTTACGTGACTAATACGTTTCATTATGTTGGAGTAGAGGAAATTACAGTATCCAGATTCGATTAACACGAATGTAGAAAATGAGGTTAACTTGCAGTTTAGTTAGGGCTAATCACTGTTTGTGATTCACTGACCTACATTATTTTGACACTGGCAACTAACATTTAATAATAAAATCATTATTCAAACACAAACATGAAACAATGAATAATAAAATAACCATCTTTACAAATGCAACAATAAAATTCCTCTTAATTAGACGCTTCGCTATTTCTCACGTTGCCAGTTAGAAATTATCGCAGTGATTGCGGCCGTTCACCGCAGAGACGTTCGCAAACGCGCAAATACAGGCCGTTGTTGCCGACTACACCTCGCATTCAAGCAGTCTAGCGACGATATGGCCTAATCTGCCACGAACAGCGCGAGGCCTCGGTCGATAAAAACTGCGGCAGACAACTGGCCTTACCTCTGCCACGGCCTACGTCGAATATGCCGGCGGTAACGATTCAAGCGTTGAGGAGGCAGGGAGAGGAACGGGGCAAAGGGGGTGAAGGGTGAGGAAGGAAGAGGAATATCGAAATAACCTAGGGATGAATCTTCATGCGGAGCTTATACCGGAACAAACTAATTGAATTATTCACCTATTTAATTTCTCTAAAATTATTAGGTTTACATGATTTTTTATTTCTACAATTTTTTATTATCAACAATTCTGTCCCATTCTATAATACAGCGAATCCATGTAACCAGTATTTGAGGAAACTAGTTCCATCCAGTTTTTTGTGTATTCAGTTTATTGATATAATTTCGATGAAAAACGCGAAATCAGTGAATAATCTGATAGTAAATATTAAAATAAATGTACAAAACAATATAAATACTAAATGAGCGCCAAACAGGAACGAATAGGACTGGACGTATTGCAGAGCGCCCCTGTTTTTTCAAATTCAAGTAACTGCCAGGTGTGAGGTGCCGGTTGGCGCGGCAGTCTCCACTATTCAATCGTGCAGGCAGTACCGAGAATGTGTGGTGCGGTGAACACGACCTGAATTCGGTTAATTTTGGTATTTGGATAAATATTGCAGGTAAGGCACAGAAAAAACGTCAGAATTTAATGTATTTACATTTTAATACAGTTTAAGGTCTCAACTATCTGCTTTCGTTCCAGGGCTCCTCTCCAGCCTAACTTACTCCATTACTATTGAAAGGCACGTTTGCCTCCGTTGTCAATTCACTCAATTCTAGTTAAACGTTACGATTATGATCTAAAATGAACTTTTTGTCTCAGAGTTATGCATAAATGTGCCACCGTAAAAACTTTCGAGAAACCTGATTTTCCTTCTATATTTAGCTGATATTTTGGAACTGATCGAGATGACAGACTCGGTAAAACTTGAACACGTCTGTGAGCTCTTATTACTGGTCACAGGTTCACTGATCAAAACTGATGAAATCCATTATGCTGCAGGCAAATGCAGCTAAACCCGACTGCAACTTTGATTGCCCGCAAAACTGTCGAGGTCCGAGGAGGAATCGGGTGGACAGTTTTTTCAAGCTCCACGGCACTGACGGCAGCGATGTCTGGTGCAGGAGCGACCTGATAAGCTGTCAAATTTCTACTTCTTGCACCGCACGATGATTGTTAATGAAGGTAAAATTTCAAATGGGCGTCCAAGTTTGCATCTCTACTTCATGATGAAGGGACTTTTTACAACACTTCTCTTTAACTTCACTTCTTGTTTGTCTGTCTGCTACAAATCTTATAATCGAAATTTAACACACTTCAACTTATCCTATCAATCTGAAATTTTGCACACTTGCGTAAAGTTGGAGACAACGCATGAATCAAATGATAAAATAAATTATTCGAAAAATTAATTTTTTTAAATGTTAAAAAAATTTGAAAAATTGTTTTTTTCGGTTCCAATTTTTTTACTTGTTTTTTGCCCCCTTTTTCTTTTTCCATTTGTTTTGAATTTTTGCCCCTTTTTTTGAGTTGGGAGGCAAGGCTTGATTCATTTGCCGGATTAATTATTTTTGAATTAAAATTTTATTTTTAATAAAAAAATGAAAAATTACTTTTTTTAATATTCGAAAATAAAATGAGAAATTCATTGTACATCTGTAACATTGGAGACACTGGATTCTTTAGAAGTGTTGACTTTAAAAAGTAATTTTTAAACGCATATTATTTTATTATTATTACAACACTTCTCTTTAACTTCACTTCTTGTTTGTCGGTCTGCTACAAATCTTATAATCAAAATTTAAATCACTTCTACTTATCCTTTCAATCAGAAATTTTGCACACTTGCGTAAAGTTGGAGACAATGCATGAATCGAATGGCAAAATGAATAATTTAAGAATAAAATTTTTTAATATGAAAAAAAACTGGAAAAAAAATAATTTTGTCAGCTACAAATCTTATAATTGATATTTGACACACTTCTACCTGTCCAATTGATATGTAATTTTGCACACTTGTGTGAAGTTGGAGGCAATGCATGAATCACTTGACAGAATAAATAATTTTGAAAATTTTTTACATATTAAAAAAATTGAAAAATTAAATTTTTAAATATTCGAAAATAAAATTAGAAATTCATTGTACATCTGTAACATTGGAAACTCTGGATTCTCTAGAAGTGTTGTCTTTGAAATGTAATTTTTAAACGTATATTAGCTCTACTATAGACAGTTACGGTGCGCTCAGCTCGGGGGATGCTGTCACATTGACACACATTGACATAGCTTACTCGCACATGTTCAAAGACGACGCTATCTTCAAGGTATTAACTATACAGATGTCAGAGAACGACTCGTCGCAGGTAGCATTTTGTGAGGCACAAGTTCGTCTAAGGCAGTGGTTCCCAAAGCGGGCGATATCGCCCCCTGTGGGCGGTGGAAAGATCTGGGGGGCGGTGAGGAAGAAAGGGGCAGTAGGGGGGCGGCACTCCGCGAAGTCGAAGTTCGTACGTTTGTTTGACGATTTGTACATAACACATGTAGAACATGACTCCGAATCGAATA